GGAACGGTGGTCCAAAACACAGGTAGGACCCGGAGTTCAGAGAACCAAGAGGTGCAACCTTCCTGATCAGCGACCAGGGAGTGGATTCCCGTCCATGAAAATGGATGTCAGAATCTGCTGGTACTTGTGAGTCTCTCTCGGCCTCTCTTGTTTACTGCAACATATGCTTTCTAGGAAATGAGCTGCAGTGAATTTCTGAGTTGTCCCAGCGCAGGCTTCCTGGGAAATACTGCATTGAATCAAAGGCCCCAATCTTTTTTACCTGCTCTGCATGCATGACTGTCTGTTGCAGGCCTGATTGTATGTGTACAAGGTTCAGCTACAAATCATGTGCTCCGAGAGGGCCATCTCCAGATCTCACAGAGCGCTGTGCCAGTGGGGTGTGACCCTCTATAAAAAGGCACGAAAGATGCTGGTCTTTGGGTGGGGGAATGAGCCCAGCTTTGGGGACCCGAGGGTACAGAATCCTGCAGAGGCCTGTGCACGCCATTCCAGATCTATTTTATCTCCTGTTGTCCTCTCAGTAATTTAAATGGGACTTTTGATCTAAAGGGAACACATGATCACCAAGGACAGCTTTTCCCACGGTGCGGAAACCACGTTCTCTTTGAACCTCTATGAGTTACACACACACACTCCCTTCCCATCCCGGTGTATTCAGTACAGCCTGCTCACGGTGTGATTTACCCTCCCCTCCAGGTACCGGGTCGAGTACCAAACACTATGCAAAATAGAAGCGGACCAAACCGAATTCATTGACCAGTTCATCTTCCAGAAGTAGCAGGAGGATTTGAAGCCAGACAGCCACGGACCAAGGAACCTTGCGGTGGAAATGATCAGCTAGTTCTGTGTTTATGCACTCCCCTTTCTCTTTTCCATGAAAGCAAATTCCAAGGGAAATAAACACTGTTTTTTTTCCTTTTTCCATATGCCTTGTTTCCATTTCAAATTGCACTTACAGAAAGTGCAAGGGGTGGGCTTGTTTTAAATGAAATTGATTTAAATCACGATTTAAATTTTTTTTTTTGGACAATGGAAATCAGTTTGATTTTGATCCACGCTTGGTATGTGAAATTATGCCAGCCAGGCAACGTCTATAAGCACCATCAACCTATCTTATTCACATTATGCAAGAACAGGGAGAAAACTCCCCACCACCACCCATATTATCACAACACATTCCTGCTGATGAGAGGTGATGATTTCGGAAGATATGCGGCAGCTCACGATCTGTTGTGCCAAGGGGAAATATCTATGGCTGATAAGTTGAACAGGCAGGGAAGCCTGTTCCATACCACAGGCAGTGCTGTATCGTGTGTGGATTTTTTTTTATAAAAAGTGAATCCAGAACGCTAACAAACTAGCCTGACTAGGTTAATTTAATATGCCAATAAAGGTTTTTATTATTATTATTATTATAAAAAGTAACAGAAAGCACCTTTAATTATTTAATTACTTCAAATAGAATGTACAGTGAAAATTGTAACACAGAATTATAACTTATTAAGTACATCTAAGCTGGAGTCTCTGGAAAAGACCATTATGCTGGGAAAAGCGGAAGTCAGTAGGAAAAGAAGAAGACCTCAATGTGAGATGGACCAACACCCTAAAGGAAACCACAGACTTAAGTTTGCAAGAGCTGAACAGGGCTTTTGAGGACAGGGCGTTCTGGAGATCACTCATTCGTCGGGTCGCCATGGGCCGGATGTGACTTGAGAGAACTACAACAAGGAAGCTACCGAGCTGTGATTCTGGAGGGCAAAGCTAAGGGAGGAAAAAGACTCTTCCCAGGAGGGCCACTTATGCACAAAGAAATAATGGCTTTGTCTGTTTGTTTATTTTTTAATGGAAGGGTGGCATTTCCGAAAGGGAGAGACCGCCGTCGGTTTACCGTTTTTTCCTTTTTTCCTCCTGGCTGTACTGCGGGTCGAGGAGCATCGAGAAGAGGATCAAGAGCGGGATCAGCAAATAGGGGAAATAGATGGCCAAGAGGGTCAGGCGTTCGGGCAGCGTCTCCGGGCCGGCATGCTTGCCGTGGGAGAAGTCGTGGAAGAGGATGTGGGCCAGGATGGGCATCAGGGTGGTGGCCACGTGCGTCGCGTAGATGATGGCCGGTGTCCGGATCCACTTGCGCTTCCCTGCGTGGGGAAAGTCCCAAAATGAGCCAAAGCTTCCCAAGCCTCCAGGAGCCCCCCTTCCTGAACTTTGTGTCGAGGAAATGTAAAGTGAACCTCTCCCACCTGGATGCAACTCGAGCACTTTTTTTGGGAAACCCACCGTTTTCACCATTTGAAAAAGAAAGAAGGAAGCTCGGCATCATCCAGTGGCCAGTCCCAAATAGGAAAGGCCTCGGGAACTGAGGGATACCCAGCGTGGCATAGCAACCGGGATCCCCAACCCTTGGGACCGGGCCATGGCCTTGGCAGGACTGGGGTGCAGAGATCCCGCAAAAAAGTCCAAGGAAATACTAGAGATCCCACCATCCTCTTGTGGTTTGTGGGGTGTTGATGGTGCAGTTTTGCTATGTTTCGAGCCTCCTCTGCCCCACAACTCCCCCCAAGTGCTCTGTAACTTGGTGGCTTTTTTGTTTTTAAAAAAACCCCAAGCATTTCAGGCAGAAGGTGACAGCTGCCCAAAGCCCACAGATTGGCAAGGGTAGCCCTTGGGCATTTCCACCCCTTCCTTTTCTCTGCAGTTTCCAGCAGGACTCTTTCTTAGGCCTTTCCTAGAGATGCTTGGAATTTGAACCCAGCACCTTCCACAAGCCACCTGGCACTGCTGGTTCGTCTACACTCAGCTTTGCCAGCCCTAACCGACAGTCGCTGTCTGGTAGTTTCAAACAAAAATCTTTCCCAACCCTGTTTGGGAATTGAAAAGGGCAATGTAAACTGCGCCTCGTGGCGCAGTGGTTAAAATGCTGTATTGCAGCTAAAACTGTGCTCACGACCTGGGGTTCAAATCCCAGGTAGCCGGCTCAAGGTTGACTCAGCCTTCCATCCTTCCGAGGTCGGTAAAATGAGTACCCAGCTTGCTGGGGGGGCAATGTGTAGCCTGTATAATTAAAATTGTAAACCGCCCGGAGAGTGCTTGTAGCGCTATGGGGCGGTATATAAGTCCAATAAATAAATAATAAATATAAATAACAAAAGCTGAAAGGGGGGAGGAATATAGATTTGTGTGAAATGCGGTACTGGAGGAGAGCTTTGCTGGATTGCCAGAAAGATGAAAAAAGTGGGTCCTTGATCAAATCAAGCCTGAATGATCTTTGGAGACATAAATGTGGAAGCTGAGGCTGTCCTCCTTTGGGCCCATCTCTGGAAAAGACCATTGTGTTGGAAAAGGCAGAAAGCAGGAAAAGAGGAGGACCAAATATGAGATGGATCAGCTCTGTAAAGGAAGCCATGGGCTTGAGTCTGCAGGAGCTGAACAGCTGAATCCACGGCATCTCAGAGATTGCGCATTCATGACGTTGCTGTCAGTCGGAAATGTCTTGATGGCACACAACAATAACAGAAATTTCCCCTCTCCCTCCTAAGTCAGCCCTCTGTGGCCCCAAAACCCTGCTCTGGAGGGTTTTCAAGCTATCTGGGGCAGGATTGCAGAGGCTGGAAGGGGTGTGGGGTGGGGAGCCTGTGTCTGCCCATTTCTTCCCACTGCAAAGCAACGGGATCTGGTGGGCATACAATGCTTCTCTGCGGCAAAGCTCCGGTGCTACTGCTACATCCCAAAATACTATCCTTTCTCCTCTAACGGACGGCTTTCCCAGGGATCCTCTGGCTACCCTAGCCCGGGAACCATGTGGCCCATTTTGCCACAGCCGGGCCATTTCCCTCCCCCCCCCCGGAAAATAAATGGTGTAAAAAATGTAAGTACCCCTCCATCCATGGGGGAAATTGTCCTTCCAAAGTGCCCCAGTATATGAACACATATACAAAATCTGGGAAGGATTTTTTTTAAATAGACAGGTGACTTTCTAGGTACTTCCCGTTTCACCTACTGGGGCTGATGGAGCCTGGAAGGACTCTTGGACCCTGGAGTTCTCCCACCTTGATGTATTCTGAATTTCATGCTAGGGTCGTGGAGGATTGTTGTAACTTTTTTCCCTCTTAATTTACTTCTGGCCCTGACTGGCTGTCCACTCGGGGGCCTTCCACCCAAAAAAAGAGGGGTGGGGAACCACGAACCTTTCCAGAAGGCATAGGTGGCCACTGGGAAGAAAGGGAGTTGCAGGAAAGCTTCGCAGTAGATGAAGGACCGGAACCAGGATGGAGGGTCGGCCATCAGGGGGTCCTTGAAGGCAGCCGTGTACCAGGTTAGCCACTCGGTCAGCTTGGGGAGAAAATTTTAAAAACAGCCAGTTATTAACTGCAGCCAAAATGCTAGCCGCTGCTATTCATATATTCCCAGAATATGAGCATGGAAAAGTTAACTTTTTAAGATAGTAAATTACTGTATCACCCAACCTGGTTCTCCTTCTGAATACAGCCGGGCCGTGGTATCTACAGGAGCGCCGAACTGTTGTGCGACTCTTGGGGAATATTTATTTTACAATCAATACATTTTTTAAAAGCCGTAAAATATCACGTGACAAACCCCAGAGCCATTTCCGGACTCCGCCTTGAAGCCATGCTGATAAAAGTTCAGAGTCAAAAGGTACCGTTCCACGTGGCTTTATAGCTCAGCATAATGCAAGAAACCAGAGGCACCTTAAAAATATATTACAACCCCCCCCCCCAACGTGCATCAAGGTCTAAAATTGCAGTTCTCCAGGCATCACACAAATATTTGCAAAATACTCTGTATATGGGGTGTAAGGTAGCCTCATTCTGTCCCGACTGATTTTTTTTCTTTAATTGGTCACAGGGGAGGCTTTTAAAAGCACTTTTTAAATAGAAAAACGGCTGTTAGAGTGGGATTTTTCAGCAAAAGAATGTTTTAAAAAAATGCTCTTTAGAAGAAACATAATTTTGGAATGGAGGCCTAAGGGGTGAAATCTGTGCCTGGACTTCTGAAGGGTTGCTCTGCTCTGCCCTAGAACAGTAAAAATGTTTTGGACTTGAATGGACAATTAGCATCTTTAAAGAAGACAGACTTGTTTTCTGCAGAAATGCTAGAACAAGTCTGGTGACCTAGACCAGATGCCTAAAGCTGTGACAGAGACACAATTTCTGAGCATATTTAACTATCGCTTTGGCTTGGGGTCTGGTCGATGCTTACTTAATAGGTTGGACCTGGTTATTTTTGCTATACCATATTAACCATGAGCTGCTTGGAAGCTTTCTGCTAGGAAGGATGCAATAGAAACACACCGATATGGATCGATGTCATAGGGCACATTAGTCATTATTAGTTACACTACTTATTAGTGACATCAACGCCCTGTGCATTGATGACATCAATTAGTGACATCAATCCCCCACATCCTCAAAACCACCCTTCCGAGGTAGGCTGAGCTGAAAGAGAACCAGTGGCCTGCGGTCGTTCAGGGAGGTTTCGTGGCTCATGGGGCGCTTGAACCCGGACCTTCCAAGACCGAGTTCAAGCCTTTAAGGGCTCCACCACATGGCTTCTCCCTATTTTCAAAATAAAAAAAAGATGTATGAATGAAAGGCACCCAGAAAACCTCAGAGAGTGCTTAAAGTCCAGGGATGGCAAAGTGGGGAGCCATTGGTCTAGACTTGGGGGGGGGCTACCGGGATTTCTCATAGCCAGGGACTTCCTGAAACCGACCCTTCCTTGATCTTTTTGATCAGAAACTCCACAAATCGAAACAAGCCATGAGACCCCTTCCAGCCCCTCTTTTTCTGTCTCAGACCCACAGCCGGGACAAAGATGTTGTGTGGGGGGAAAACATGTGTCCATCCCGGTGCTAGGAAACGTTTCATTTCTGGACTCTTAGAATCCATTCTTTAAGCAACACCACCAGAGAGGAAACAGCAGCCAGGTCTTAACCAGAGAGTGAAGAAGTTACTTTTGCTGACAATTCTTTCCAACATTCCCCCCCCCTCCCCACCCAGCCAGCCGGAAAAGAAAACGAAGAACTGTCGGATCTTAAACCAGAGCTTGGTTTATCATTTATCTATTTTAAAGAGTTTGCCCCCCCCAAGGCGGCTAAAGGCAATGAAAGCTAAAAACAGCAAATATACAAACAGGGGGGGAAAATATCAAGCAAATCCCTCAATAAACAAATGAAATAGTAGAAACACTTTCAAAACAGTCATTGTTTACCCATCCCTTTTTAAAAACCCTCTCAGGCAGCCAGGCACTCGGGGAAAGCCTGCAGCCAAGATGGGGCCAGCCTGGCCTCCAGTGGCGGGGAGTTCCAGAGTTTGGGAGCAGCCACAGAATGCGTTAGTCTGCGTGTTCCCCCCCCACGCACAAGAAGTAGCTTAGAGAAGTTACTTTTGTCGTTAGTGATCGACTGGACGACGGTTCCTCAGCAGGCTCGCTAGCCATTCCGGTTTGGTGGCCTTCTGGCTGCTGCAAAAGTAACTTTTCCCACGTTCCTCTAAGAGGGAACGAGGGGAAACCCTAACCCATTCGCCCCTTTCCGAGTGGAAAACTGGAAACGCGGTGCAGATTTTGGAGAGAGGGAGGGAAACCCTTCCCAAGGTAGGGCGCAAGGAGCTTGGAGACAGGGGGTGGACTCCGGAGCCCAGCATCCCCGAGCCAGCCAGGCGGCTGGGGATGATGGGGCTTGTAGTCCAACTCCCCCCCCCTCCTCCTCCCTTTTAAAGGGGGTTGCCTTGTGTTACTTACTCCTCGCGGGTAAAAATCCGGGACGAGGGCTTGCAGGTCTATGAGGAGCGTGATGGGGATGTGGGTGAGGAAGTAAAGCGCAAAAACCCACTCCAGGACTCGCGTGGCCGCCATCGCTTGCTCGTTCCCGGCTGGGATCTTGCCCTGATCCACCCGGGGGATCGGCTTCGACTCATCCTCCATTGGCTGCTGTGAAAAGGGGCGGGGTTTCCGCCCTGCCTCCTTCCTGGGTGGATTTGGTGTTAAAGGAAAACCTTAAGTTTGAGTTGTTTTGATGCGCTTCTGGGTTTTTGTTTTTTTTGCAGAAGTGTCTTTGTTTTGCTTTGTTTACCAGCTTTGATGAATCTTGAAGAGTCTGGAAGAGGGGCAGGCAGGTTGTTTTCATTTCTGTATTTTATTTAAAATAAGTTTTTCCCCCGCTTTTCTCCCCCGAAAAGGACCTAAGGAGACTCCCATCATGAAAAGACAGTATTTGAAGCTTAAAAACAGGAAAAAGGGAAAATCGCACGATGGGGAAAAGCAGAATTTCCAATGAAGGCAAAAAGTAAAAGGCGGGTCTATGAAAGGAAGAACGGATCCTAACGATTTCAAGGTGATCTTGCGAACCAGAGATCCCGCCTACGCCCACAGACGACAGCCCAGGAATCACGAATCCTTTAGCAACTTGAGTGCACAATAATGCAGAATACAAGAATTGGAGAAAGCGAGGGGAATGAGGGGAGGAAAGAAATTTGGAACCCTTGAAATGTTAGAGAAAAATTTAAAAAAGGAAAATTAAAAATAGGAGAGAGGAACTTCGAGGAGACGAGCATGCAAACAGAGGAAGGGAAATAACCTGGTTTTTCTGCCAGGTTATTTTTCTTGAAAAAAATTAAAATAATAGGAATTTAAAGAGGAGGGGAAAAATAGGGGGGGCCGATACCGTGGGGCTCCCCGAATCCCTCCGCCCTCCATGGACTCCAGGCCCCCCCCCCAGAAGGGCCGGACGGAACCCATTCAGCCATTCATTCATTCATTCATTCATGAGCAACATAGTATCAGGGGAGGCGGCCTGCCTGCCTTCCCAGCATGCAACGCTACAGAGCAACCCATCTCTCTGTATACTCAGCCTAGTTTGCAGGCCTACAGAACCTGACCCCAACTGGGATTGGTTGGACCCGAAATACTGGGCGCCGCTGATTGGTTGCAGGCATCCTCTGGGGAAAGCCTACGGAAGAGTGGAGGAAAAGCTGCGTTTGGAGTGGGCGAGAAAAGGAGAGAGCAGGAGGCTGCGCCCACTCCTGGGATGGGGGGGTTATGTGTCCATCATCCAGACGGGCAGAACGGTAGCCAATGGGATGCCTATATGCTAAACCCAACTGCCGCTGAGCCTGAAGGGGAGGGATAAAAGCCCAAGGGAGGCAAGGGGTTGGCTGAGAGGACTTGTAACTTTCCCACATAGAAGTTTCCGGCTTCTGGGCAGGACGTGGGGGGGGAAGGAGGGAGACTCCTTCAGAGCCGTTAGGAAATATGTGGCCCTTTCCCAAGGCTCGGCTGTGAAAAGGGGGAGCCCACCTAGGAGAGTGGAGTGGGGTGCCTGGGGCTGCGCATGCGCCTCTCGTCACCTCCTGTGTTCCGGTAGCCGAGCAACGTAGGGGGTGGAGTGGCCACCTCAGGCCGCAGAAAGCCGTAGGCGGGGCAGCCAGCCGATGTGTCGTAATGGCGTCGTGGGCGCTCAGGGGGCGGGGCAAGCAAGAGCTCCGCCCATCGCCCCGCCCTAGAGGGGAGCGAGAGCCTCCCTCCTATAGGCTGTAGCTCCACCCCCGGTCCCTCAGGGGGGCGGCCCCTGATCAAGCCCTGCCCACGAGCTCTTCCTGCCAGAAGGGGGGGAGGGAAGCCGGGGGGGGGGCTTCCTGGTTCAGCAAAAATAGTGGATTAAGGTTTTTCCCCTCCCCCTCAGGTTTTAGATGTGGAGAATCTGGACAAGGCGGAGGAATTAAAGGAAGGGGCCCTTGGCTGTAGGCTGGACCAGATGACCTCGAGGGATCCTCTGCCGCAGGTCTCGAGTTGGAGGGGCCAGGACCGTCCTGCCTCCTTTCCTGTCCCAGACCAAGGGCCCCACACTGACCCCCACCCCATGAAATTGGGGGGGGCGCACACGATGGAGCCTCTCTGGAAGTGAAGGGACCCCAATAGGGGAAAAGCCATGGACAGGCAGGCAGGTGAGCCTGGGGCCTCCTTCCACTGAGCGAGCCTCTCATCATCCCTGCTCCAAGGCAGCCGCCCCCCCCGCGAAAAAACATCCTGGGACAAATGTTTACTCTGCTGCTGTGGCACCAGCCCCGACCCCAGGCTCCCACCCGGCCCCTAGAGAACAGAAACTCCGGTTACTTCACCTGTCTTGTAGCATCCTCTGGCCAAAGCAGCCCCTCCCAAGAAAGGCAAGGGTTAATGGTCCATCGTGATGTCTCCGCAGCCAGCTGCCCCTTGTCTCCACACACACACACACACACCCAGTGCAATCCAGCCCAGCTCATGGTGACATCCAAAGCCGGACCTGCTTGGTTGAAAATAGAGAAAGGGACTCTTTACAACCAAACGGGAATCTAAGAAGGCGCTGGGAAATTTCTGGCCAAGCCCTTTCAGGGATTTTTTTTTGGGGGGGGAAGGAAGAGAAACCTTGGGGTCTGCTCCCCCATGCATGTCCAAATGGGGGTCCTGGGGTGGAGCTGAGGCCAGGGTCCTTTGGGATGGGGTCTCCACCCCAGCTGGAGGGCCAGAGCAATGCGGACAGAGCTTCCCAGGGCAGGCAGGAGAGGGGTGGCGGTGTTGGTGGGTCAGATCTTCGAGGATCAGCCCCACCAATGCTTTGCTCCTGCAGTTCCAGTGGCCTCAGTCCCCTTGAGCTGCCGGAAGGGTTGAGGGGGCCTGAGAAGAACAATGGTGGGGAGGCCAGCCAACCTGAAGGCTCTTCGAGTTGGTCATAGCAAAGTCCAACAGGCTGCAAGGAGATGTTCTAACGATTATTGGTTTCAGCTCTGCTCAGATCCAGATAGCAGCGGACACAGGTAACATCAAGGGAATTTATGACGGTATCAAGCAGGCTTTAGGTCCAATACAGAAGAAATCTGCTCCCTTGAAGTCTGCTACAGGCGTGATCACCCAGGACTGAACACAGCAGATGGACCGCTGGATGCAGCACTACTCTGAACTATATTCCAGAAAGAATGTAGTAACCGAAGCACTGAATAACATTGAGTGCCTGCCTGTCTTGGAAGAGTTGGACAGCGAACCAACTTTAGCAGGAATAAAAGCGGCCTTGGAGTCCCTCGCCTCCGGCAAGGCACCTGGAAAGGATAACATCCCTGTTGAAGTGCTGAAGTGCTGTAAATAGATAATCGCCACCAAGCTGTATGAAATCTTTGTCTTTGCTGGAGAGAAGGTGGAGTACCACAGGACATGAGGGATGCAAACATCGTCACATTGTACAAGAACAAAGGAGACAGGGGCGACTGCAATAACTACCGTGGCATCTCTCTTCTCAGCGTTGTAGGGTAGCTGCTTGCCCTTGTTGTGCTGAAGAGGCTCCAGGTGCTTGCAGACCGAGTCTATCCAGAATCACAGTGTGGATTCCGAGCTAATAGATCCACCACCGACATGGTATTCTCCCTCAGACAGTTGCAGGAGAAATGTAGGGAACAACAATAGCCACTCTTTGTGGCCTTCATAGATCTCACAAAGGCCTTTGACTTGGTTAGCAGGGGCGGCCTTTTTAAAATCCTTCCCAAGATTTGATGTCCACCTCGACTCCTTAACATCATCAGGTCCTTTCATGAGGAAATGAAGGGCACTGTGGTTTTTGATGGCTCAACATCATAACCCTTTGACATCCGAAGCGGAATGAAACAGGTCTGTGTCCTTGCTCCAACCCTGTTTGGGATCTTTTTTTGCTGTCGTGCTGAAGCAGGCCTTTGGAACTGCAACAGAAGGTGTCTATCTCCGGACCAGATCAGATGGAAAGCTCTTTAATCTCTCTAGATTGAGAGCAAAGATCAAAGTCCAACTGAAATACATGTGGGACTTCCTCTTTGCCGATGATGCAGCTGTTGTTGCCCACTCTGCTGAAGACCTCCAACAACTCATGAATCGTTTTAGCAAGGCCTGCCAAGACTTTGGATTAACTATCAGCCTGAAGAAAACACAAGTCATGGGCCAGGGCATGGACTCACCTCCCTCTATTACTATCTCCACACAAGAATTGGAGGTTGTTAATGACTTTGTGTACCTTGGCTCAGTGATCTCTGACACTCTCCCTAGATGTTGAGCTGGATAAATGCATTGGCAAAGCAGTTCCCACTTTCTCTAGACTCACAAAGAGAGTCTGGCTTAATAAGAAGCTGACGGCGTATACCAAGATCCCATTCTATAGAGCCTGTGTCCAGAGCACACTCCTGTACTGCAGCGGGTCCTGGACCCTTTGTGCACGGCAGGAGAGGAAGCTGAACACGTTCATATGCGTTGTCTCTGATGCATTTTGGGTATCACCTGGCAGGACAAAGTTCCAAATAAAGTAGTCCTAGAACGAGCTGGAATTTTTAGCATGTATACATTACTGAAACAGCGACGTCTACATTGGCTCGGGCATGTTGTGAGAATGGCTGACGGTCAGATTCCAAAAGATCTCCTGTATAGAGAATTAGTGTAGAGAAAGCACCCCAGAAGGACACCACAGCTGCGATCCAAGGAGATCTGAAAGCGGGATCTAAAGGCCTTAGGAATGGACCTCAACAGATGGGAAACTTTGACCTCTGAACGTTCAGCCTGGAAGCCATCGGTGCATCACGGCCTCTCCCAATTTGAAGAAACACTTGTCCAGCAGGCCGAGGCAAAGAGGCAGTCACGAAAGCACCAAAATTGGGGAGCTGGACGGGATAGATTGTATTTGTCTTCCATGTGGAAGGGATTGTCACTCTCGAATTGCCCTTCTCAGCCACACTAGACGCTGTTCCAAGACCTCCATTCAGAGCACGTTACCCTAGTCTCTCGAGACTTAAGGATGTCTACTAAAGGTGCATAAACACACACACAGGTCTTCTTCCCTCATGCTGGCCTCTCAGATAATACTAATTAATTCACAAGTTATTTCACTTTAAAAATGGTTGAAAGGAGGTGGGCTGGCTGGCTGGCTGGTGCACAGAGACCACAGATCCCGTCAGCCCTGTCTTGGCACAGCGTGAGGAAAGGAGTCTGTTTGGATGTGGTTGCCCAGCGCCACTGTGATCACCACCCGAGGCTCCAGCAACGAGGCTGGGGGTGGTCCTGAGACTTAGCGGTCCAGGGAAGTGGGTGGCTGATCCCATGGGGCGGGCAGGGGGAATTGCAAGGGAAAACCTCTCCTTGGCCCCGGGGGACCTCCTGCCACGGCTTCTTCCACCCGTCGGCAAGGAAGGTCGACCAACTTTGGTCCGTCTGGGAGCAGCAGGAAGAGGAGCACCCCTGGGAAAATCGGGGAGGGAGGGAAGAGCAGTCCCTTTGGCTTCCCGGGTAGCGGGGGGAAGTCTCTGCTCCTCTTAAAAGGAGGACCACCCGCCTAAAAAGTGGAGAAACCGAATCCATGCATTTTATACTTGCTGTCCCAATGGGATGAGGTCCTAGTTCCCTCCCTAGGTTTTGTGTTTTTAAACACATGTGATCTCTACGGCAACTGGCAGTAGGGTGCTATGGGTGGATCCCACGAGGCACCCAACCCATACACTTAACTGGTCCTCTAAGCTGCTGTTTTTCGGGCTCTTGTGCAGGGGCACTTTGGAAAACATCTGGGGGCTCAACCTCTCTCCGACAAGCCCCCCCCCCAAAACCACCACCACCACCCCTTACAAATCTAACCAGGGACCAATCGGTTGCTCCTTCTGCTATACATATAGGAGGCAAGCGGGCTCTCGAAGTGGGCAGCAGAGCACCCTTTCCCAATTCTGAGCTCCATCAGAATGGGATCTCGCGCCCAAGGAAGCCACTGTCATCTCTGCCATCTCGAGACATCCACCGTTTCTGGTCGGGGCTTTTTGGCGGCTGACCCGCAACCTCTGAAGGACTTGGATTCAAATTCTGCCAGCTCCCTGAAGGGGCAGAAAGGCAAGAAGGATTTCCTTGGGGTCGGATCCGTGAGGAAATCCACACCCACCTCCCCAGGAGAAGGACGGAAGGGCAGAAAAGACGAAGGGTTTCTGCGCAGTTTTGTTTCAAATGTCACATTTAATGTTTTCACCACTGTACTTCAAAATCTACATTGTACAAAGTGACCCGCAACTGTGCCACATTTAACAGACCAACCTCTGAGATTTTACCTTTCATACCAGTGTCTTCTCGGGCTCGTTTTAAGTTAAAAATCGTGCTTCTCATTCAAGTGAATTGAAATGCTTCGAGTTGGTTTTTCTTTTTTTCAAATTTCCTCAGGAGCCACACAAAAAACAAAGATATTTTCTCATCTTTGTTTGAGAAATTCTACGTTTTTGTCTCTTTCACATCAAAATAATGACTTCATTGAAGTTAAAACTTCCAAAAAACATAACTGTATTCAATTCCAGCTCAGATCACTCCTCTTGAAAATACTCTGCTAAATACAGATAACTTACAATAACTTTAACAGTTAATTGTCCGTGACAAACAACAAGGTTTCTCTCATTTGTTTTAAATATCCCAGACCAAGGTTCAAAATTTAAGACCATCCATTCATTATTTTCCTTTGTACAGGTGAAAAAAAAAACAGTCTTCAATTTTTCTTGCCTTTTTTTTAAATATAAAAGTTGGAAGGGACATTCAAGTTTCAAGTCTCCACACTGGACTTAAAAAAAAAATCATGTGGAGGTAAACAAACCAAGTTGTCTACTCCAGGAGGTAGGAGGCCTTTAGTTTGTGTTCATATATATATATACATATGCACAGAATAATTCAGTGTTTGAACAAAACAACACACAAAAATAAGGAATTAGCCCCAAAGTAAGAAAAGTTATTTACTACTGTGACATTTCAAGACTTCCACAGCTTTGCCTAATGACACATATACAATTAACATAATTCCCTATGTGCTTTTCCACCCCCCCATTTCATTTCTTTTTCACCCAACTGTCCAGTGCAGGATTTTAAAAAAAAATCACAAAGTTTCACAGACCTAAAAATGTGCAGACGACTTTTTCACTCTCCCATTCTCTGTCTCTCTCTTTCTCTATATATACACAGCAATGAAGATTCTTCAAAATCTTTGCCCAGAAATGGATTTATTTACACACGTTTGCAGATGCATGCTGGGGGTGGTGGTGGTTTATGTAAGAAAAGAGCAGAAAAACTTCTAATAAAAATAGATTAAATATATATATTTATATATATTTATTTATACGGGGGCAGGGGGTTAAAAAAGAAAAGAAAAAAACTTTAATCTTTCCTAGGCACGATTCATTCTCTCTACTCACAACACCTGATTGGAAAAAACATCACACAATCACCACCACAGCGCTAGTAAGAAGTTATGTAGAGGTTGTGGCTATCCTGTGACGTGGCCCACTGAAACGTAGCCACGGCCATCAGGTGGGGGGGGCTGCATGATTGGTCACAGCTGAGTTTTGTATTCCCTAACTTCTTTTGATATAATTAAAAATAAATAAATATCCAAATCTTCAGGAATGGCTCAGGATCAAAATACCTTTAATCCTCTAACACACTCTCGCTTTAAGGTGAAGGAAAAGAAGAGCAAAGGGGAATTTTTTTCAAAAAAAAAAAAAGTGGAGGGAGGGAAGGAGTGACTTTTCCCACCCATTTTGGTTCAATCTTTTTTTCCAAAATCAAGCAAGATCACAGCTGCACTGCAATTCACTTAAAAAAACAAAACACCCCCCCCCAGACCCAAACCGACCATGTGCAACTCTGGATAAAATATTTTGCTTCTAAAAGCACAACCCCACCCTCGACAGGATTTAAAAGCCTAGGTCACGCTTCCCCCCCCTATCTCTTAGTCATATATAATACAAGGATAGTGGTTGTTAATTTAAAACGTCATTAGTAAAAGTACAGTACAGGCATGATTAAACCTCCAGAATTGAAAATCCCAGAATCCAGTGAAAAGCTACATTAAGTCTTCAGTAGTACGTTTCTCTCTTCCACGTTTTATTCCCAGACCAGTGGAGACGGCGGCATCTCGGACGGCTGAGCGACGGTGGAACTGGAAGGCAACACGACACACACAGCAAGTTCAGCCGCCAGTTGCAAGGGGTCACGGGAACACCGAAAGGCCCGAAGGCTGCGAGCCTAGCGCCCTGCCCTGCCCTGCCCCACACGCTTGTGGGGGAGAGTTAAGAGAGCACCAAGAGGCCCACGGGAGTCAGCCTTTGCAACCTGGGAAGGGACGCTCTGCTCCCCAATCCCGAAAGGATGCCTGCAATGGTTCAGGGGGAGTTAGATGACTCTTCCCTTCTACCTTTTGGCCAAAATACTGGCTCGGGGCGTAGCTGCCTTCCGCCCTGATCCAGGAGGGTTGGCCTTCAACCCCTTCTCCTTAACCATCTTGGTCCTTTCTTCCCCCCGAGTCTGCATGCCGCTCTTTTGGCCGCTTCTCCGTGTGTCCTTCCACTGGTCTCCTGGCCATTTCCATACCCCTGGCAGATCCCTTTATGGCTCTCCCAGGATTCAACCTCCCTTCCTTTCCTTGCCATCAGACCTTGGGGTGGGTTCCTCCCTTCTTCCTCCAACGCTACAAGCCATCGGCCAACAGAAAACCCAGGAAGTGGCCTTATGGCAAGGTGACCCACTAGTCCATCCACCACCAGGTGCCACAAAATGGCTCTCGAGGAGAACGGCATCTTCCCCGTCACAGATGGCCGGCCCTTCTCAAACGACAGACGCCGGGCCTCGGACAGGCAAAAGCAGCCGCTCTACTGCTGAGAAAGGTCCCCTTCTCTCTCCGCCACCCGATTCAGACTCTGAAAAGGGGGGCTGTGGCTGTGATCGGCAAGCTCCGTCACTGCCCGGACCACGGCTGGCTAGAGAGGATGGGAGCTGCGGTCCCACAACGTCTGGGGGGCCCAAAGGCAGACAGAGGAGGAGCCCTGAAAACCACCAGCCTGGACTCGTGGTTTGAAAGGAGCGGCATCTGGCTCAGGCAGAGCAGACTTTTCCTTCCAGGGGATGGAGTGACTGACAAGGAAAGAGCCACAGATACCCACCCACAGGTCTCTGCCGCGAAGCAGCTGCTTTAGGCAACGCGCTTTGAGCCCGACACCGCCGTGCGGAACGCATGGAGGTCACAGCACATCCAGTTCTTGCGGTTTTTTCTCGTGGGCTTCTGACTGCCAGCCACTCATGGCAGACCAAACCTATTCCCCTGCCCTCCCGGAGAAATTCCAGGTTTCTTCCGAGCGAATCAGCCACACAGACGAAGTTAGTTCAGAACCATTCATTCAAATACAGGAGTGTGGTTTTTTTTTGGGGGGGGGGTTTCTTTGCTTGCTTTCCCTGACGTTGTCCTACCGCTAAGGAGGAATGGAGAATAACAATCAGATGCGATATCATACAATTACCTAATGAAGCTCTTAAAAGCTGCAGATTGTGGGTTGATGCACAGAGGAACTCTGTTTCCCTTCTGCTGTTCCAAAATGAACTGATGGATTATTTCTGGAAAACAAAAAGGAGGGGAGGAGGGAGAAAATGAACCTGGCTTCACACAGGCTCAGGAAAAGGTAGACAGAATAGACTATTTACTGGGGAGGAAATCTACCTGCAGTACACGTTTGGACAAACACATGGGGAGGAGGATTTCTTCAGCACCAGCTCAGGGGGCTGCGTGTCCTGGTTTAAGAAGCGCCCAGGTTTCATTCTGTCTGATTTTTCTCCTAATGTTTCTCCTAATGTTTCCCAAAGGGCTCCTAACCATCAATCGCATGAGAAGCCCATCAAAGCAATACTACCTGATCAATCCTAGGAGTTTTAGTCATTTATTACATTTGCAAAACTTTGTATAAGGTGGAAATGCAGTCCTGAAGTCAAGCAGTCTCGTTCATACTTTGCCGTCGAATAGGCCAACAAAGAGGATCAAGAAAGGAACGGCTTGGACGAGACAGCAGGTGGTTTCTCTGCTCTGGGGTTTGGTGCTGAGAGGGTTCTGGAGAGGGGCTGCGCTCACCCTGAAGGGCCAGGATCACAACCGGGGGGGGGGAATACTACAGTGGAGTCTCGCATTACGATCGCTTCGTTTAACAATGAAATCGTATTACAATGAACTTTTTGTGATCGCTTTTGCGATTGCAAAATGATGTTTCCTATGGGGGAATTTCGCTTTGCGATAATCGGTTCCCTGCTTTGGGAACCGATTCTTTGCAAAACGACGATTTTCCAACAGCTGATCGGCGGTTTCAAAATCGCCGCCGGGTAAATAAAATGGCTCCCCGCTGTGTTTAGTGACGGATTCCTCGCAAGACAGGCAGCGAAACTGGCCACCCTATGGAGGATCTTCTCTGGACGGTGAGTTTTAAGCCCATCGGAATGCATTAAACAGGTTTTAATGTGTTTCTATGGGCTTTTTAATTTTGCTTTATGATGTTTTCGTTCTACAGCGATTTTGCTGGAACGAATTAACATCGTAATGCGAGGCACCACTGTACTTACGTTTAGCCTTGCCTTTAGGGGCTTCAAGAGGTCTTGATGGCAAGACGCCCCAGTGAAACCTCCCACGGATCAAGAAAACTTGGCTGCAATTAGCTGTGCCTAGCAACTTTTTTGGGGGGGTGGGGGTGGAGGGAGTTCCACAAGACAATGTATGGAAAGGAGCGTTTGACGAACACTGGTTCAAAACAGTAACAGCCAAGTTGCTGATCGGTTGCAAGTTGCATTGTACAGAATGCATCTCACCAAACTGAACACTACTGTGTTTAGTATAAGTTTTACTTACATTAAAAGTAAGCACATATAATGAGATACAGGACATTGGATGAAACGGTTCCCAACTCATAGGAATACCTTTTGCTCAAAAGCAAACACTTGTCTACGTCATTTTTTGTAAAATACAGAAGCCTGAAAAAGTCAGTGTGTTTTGGGATTTTTTTTGGGAAATAAAATTCTGGATAACATAAAGCTTCCACATGCCAAGTGTCTTTCTCCCCAGAAACAAATGCACATCTTACAGATGCTGTAAAGAAAATGTGCCGAGCGCTTAAATGTTCCTGTAGATTAAGTCTATGTGTAGTGCACATGTTATATTAATAAACAGGCAAACGCTTTATTCCACACATGTGTTTATGATTTGAATGAGACCTCAACAAACAAATGAGGCAAAGGATGGAAACTCAAAATACTGACCTTTAACCTGCCGGACAGAACTGAGGTTCTTTTCAAAAGTATCGTCAAACTACGGACATTGTTAAGTGAAATTCCCCCATAGAGAACATCGTTAAACGATGCTGAAAATTCCTCAAAGAAACCCATCACAAAGCGAATACATCGTTAAATGAAGCAATCGCTAAGCGAGGCACCACTGTATTAATAAACAGGCAAACACTTTATTCCACACATGTGTTTATGATTTGAATGAGACCTCAACAAACAAATGAGGCAAAGGATGGAAACTCAAAATACTGACCTTTAACCTGCCGGACAGAACTGAGGTTCTTTTCAAAAGTATCGTCAAACTTGGGATTTGTGATGGGTTCAAAATCATTGGTGTAAACCCGTCCCGTAGAAGTGGAAAAGCAACATTTACACATGCAGGTGTGATATCGCAAGCGCCCTTCATCAAGATATGGATGAGCTAAGGCATCCTTAGCGGATATTCTTTTGGACTAGAATGCAAGAGAGAAATAACGAATTTACGGACTTTTCTGGGGAGATTCTATTTGCTCACACAGATAGTCGCATAGATCTGTAAAAAAAAATTCCCTGTATCACGTTTTCCCTGCTTCTGACCACAAGGAGGCAGTGTTTGCTTGCAAAAAGCAGCAGTGCTTTTAAAAAGAAACCAACTTTTTCTCCATTTGGGTCATGTGCTATCCTCTGGCCCTTCTCAGTTAAAAACCGATACAGTCCACTGAATTTCCAACTCCGTTTAATAGCTCTGTGGCAGGCTATGATTTGCACAAATGGCTTTCCTCTGATTTTCAACCGTAGGGTTGGACTGGCAGGGCAGCCTCCCGAGGCTGATCGAAGGCAGGCTGGAAGTTACACAGAGTATGTTTTCTGATTACTTTTGCATTTCGACCAGGTAATAAAACGATCAAATACAACAGCAAGAAAACACAGAAACGTTGCAGGATTAAAGACCATATTGACCCGCAAGTCTTTGAGAGGAGGCTGCTGGGAGATGTTTAACTCGGGTCTCCCTTTTCTACCAGGCTAGGATCAACTGAAGGAAAAAGATTTCTATAGTGGATGGAGATTTTTTTTTTTAAAAAAAATTGGATACCAATTTGCAATAAATCACTCCGACATGGCAAAGCGTCCTCTGCCATCGCATCTCAGTGTTGAGGAGGGCCAAGAGGACGCCCGTGGTGGCGCCTGGTTTCTCAGTCCTGTCCCTTCCCCTGGATGAATTTGGATAACTGAACTTGGGGAAGAGAAAAAGAGCCATTTCGTGAATGAGCTGCTGCAGCCTCCCCTGAAACTTCCGTAATAGGTAATCCTGACTCAGTGACCACTAGGCTGGCCCACCCTGGATGCGGGCAGGTTCTGCAGCCTCCACCGGGCTGCGGGAAACACGACCAACTGTTGGGGGGTTGTAATCCAGAAGATCTGGAGGGCACCCGTTTGGGGAACACCCTGGATTCTACATTTTGAAACCCAGAATCCTTCAGGGGAAGCTGCAACACAATCCGTGTGTCTCGCCTCTAGATACTGCGAGTTTCCCCAATTGCTTACCAGTGGCCCTCCTTTTTAAGGCAAAAGTCTCTCAAATCACCTAATACCTGACCCTGCATAAAATTATTAAAGTAGGATCCTCTTATCTGCGGGATCAATAACCATGGGTTCAGTTATCCACGGCTTGAAAATATTAAAAGAAAAATCCTGTTCCCCCCCCCAATATTTTTAAGGATGAAGTTACCAGAACTGTCCACTAGATGGCGCCAGAGAGTACGCTATGTACAGTATAACTTTTGCTATTAAAACACCATTTTGTGTTTTTCAGCATCCGCGAGGGGACTAGGAATTGATCCCCCACAGATATGGGGGTCTGACTGTAATTCCACAGAGTCCTGTAAAGATAGTTGTGGAAATGGAGAATGGCTTTATAAACCACCACTCCTCAGTTTGCCCTCTGGCCTCGGTGTTCCCCAGATGGCCACTGCGCTCCTCCACCCGTATTTCTTTTCTCATATTTCTAAGATGCGGCCAGTTCTGCCGACGTTCCTCCGAAGACGGACGGCCATCAGCAGAGGGGTCAGGGCGAGGCTCCGGGGCCAAAGGGTCCCCTTTGCTGCCCATGAGCAAGGGATCCAGCCTCCACCCAGAGAGAGTCGCATTTGCCACAACATGCCGGGTGCCCACATTCTGACAAATGCATCGGGAAAGGCAGGCCGCCTTCTCCTACCTACACCTCGATCAATGGAGGAGCGCAGGATGAGTCACCCAACCCCCTCGGAGGAGAGGATCCCACTCGGCTGTTTGGAAAAGGTCAGAACCCACCGCTGGGTGGGCACATTTTGAATGGCTGGGATGTATTTCACCCACTGGAATCGTTCAGAGAAATGTCTTGCTTAAGGGAGGCAGAGGGAGACAAGGTGTGTTAGTGTGTATATGTGTGTGTGTGTGTGTAGAAAATTCACCCCCTGCCACGCATGAATGCAGAGCTTCCTACAATAAATGCATGTTAAAGATGGTCTAAACTACTAGTATGTCATGCAATAATAACAAGGGGTTGCAATGTGTGTCTCCTTTGGGACGAACAGATTTTTAAAAAAATCATACGAGCTTCTGTGGAGAAGCATAGTCTACCTGCTCTGTTGGGGCAGAGCAAGGCCCTTTTGGGCTCCCGTTGTGATAAAGCTACTAGGCACAGTTTGTCTGTGGTGGGGAAGCTGTAACATCGAATTGAGGTTGATGGTGTTTCTGTAATAAAAGAGATTTTGCAATGGGGCGGGCGAAGAGCCCCTTCAGCTCCCCTTTGCTGATGCAGTTGTGTATGTGTGTGTGTGTATGTGTGTGAGTGAGTGAGTGAAGGCTGGGCTTCAACAGACTCACCCCCTTCCCATTCTTCCCTTCTCTCAAGGGATGCTGGGGAGAAGTTGCCCCTCTCCGGGCCAAAAAGCGACCCCATGGCAAAAGTATTGGGTAGGCAACCCTTTACCCCTTTCCTACACTCATTCCCTGGGCCTTGCATGTGAGAACTAGGACCTGGGCTTCGCTAGAACTTGAAAAATGTATCCTTTTGGATGCCAACTTACACCGTTCCAGCCAGGGGACCATGGAAGGAGTCACAGCTCAGAAATGTTAAATTTCCCAATCTCTGTGTAACGCCTTCTGTTGCTCAGGATAGGTGCTTGGCAACCTGAGAAGCAGCACGCAGTGGCGGTTTTGACTAATTTTTTTCCGCAGAGGTGGGCGGGATTGTTGTGGGTTAATTTTCACTCGTCGCTATTTTGCTGGCACTATTTTCTCTGCCCAACCACAGAGTTGGTAATCGGTCCTGCATCTCACAAATGCCATTTTCAAGCAAGCAGGCACAACAACAGGGAGTTCAAATCCTCTGTTGCACCTCCTTGATGGGGCTGGACTCGGTGATCCACAGGATCCCGTCCAGCTCTGCAATTTTGAGATAACGAGGATAACTGTAAACACACATATAATTTAACTTCCATCCAGACCCTCTTCCCCCATCATCAATACAGAGCAAAAAAGCTGACTCACTGGATCAAAGACCAACATCCTACAAAGGAGATGAACGGCTTCGTGTGTAGCTTGACTGGATAGTGTGTACAGGACAGGAAGGGATGGCTGCAATGAGGAAGAGAGAAAAATATTGAGCAATGCTACGTGCACACAGGCAAACAGGAATCACTTGAGATGCACAAACGCCCTGTTCTATGCTACCTACTCAACCACCTCTTTGTTGAGTAAAAGCAGCCAGGCATCTATTAGTCCGTTTCTGTGGGATCAAACCAAACCTTTTAATGTATTCTTGAAGGCTTTCACGACCAGGATCCGATGGTTGCTGTAGGTTTTTCGGGGCTGTTTGGCCGTGTTCTGGAGGTTTTTCTTCCTAATGTTTCACAAGTCTCTGTGGCCGTCCTCTTCGGAGGACAGGAGTTAGAACTCTGTCTGTGTTGTGGACAGAGTTCTAACTCCTGTCCTCTGGAGATGCCAGCCACAGGGACTGGCAAAACATTGGGAAGAAAAACCTCCAGAACACAGCCAAAGAGCTCCGAAAAACCTACAAAGACCCCTTTCAATGTTCACCAGGCCATCCTTACCGTCACAGCAAAAACCATGTGGGTTCTTGCACACCTAGCCTTTGGCTTTAACAGACAGATGAAGTCCAAACAACCCCCCTAGTGGTATTTTTCCAAAGTTGGCAACAGATCCAGACTTGTAGTTTTTGATTACAACACCCAGGTAGCTACAGAGCCAGGCAGAGAGAGGAAAACATGGGTGACCACCCCGGGTAAACTTGGGGAAGTCTAGCAAGGTCATTCACCTGGCCCTAATGTCTTTTTTAAAAAACACAAGCTCAGCCCATATAGAGTCGTTACCTGGAGCATAATTTGGATCCTCGAGAAATCCCAAGGTTTTGTTTTAATGCAAGGAAAAACCCAGAAACCTGTGTATGGAGAGGCAGACCACGCAGCCAAATATAATCAGTTCCAACAGGAAGAGGTCTCCAGGTTTTAAGGCAGGATCCCTTCCCCCTGGTCATCTTTTTTTGAAGTATTAACCAAACTTGACCCCGTTTAGCTTTTCAAATTAATAGGTTTGGGGTAGGACGAGGGCAGCTTTTATTTTTAACTTGCTGGCCCTTTTTCCCCAGGGGAACTAGGTCCAGGATCCTATTGGTTTCTTACGCCTGAGCAAATGCAGGAGCACCAACTGCAAAGGCCAACTGACGCTTGTCAGCACTTGCATCCTTTCTTGTGAACCCGTCACATGATCCAAGTGGCACCTTGTCAAACTAGCAGGATTTTGAGGACGCAATTAATGCTGCTGCACTGATGCTGGCATCATTAACTGATTGGATTCTGGCTCCCATTCTATAAGATGCAGAAAATGAAATCTGGCTTTAGTCCCAATTTAGCAAACTCACTGAGATCCTAGACTAGTCTCATTAAAAGCTGGTGCTGCTTCTTCTCTACTTGCGGATTAAAAACGGAATCCCATCCAAAGGGTTTGTACCAAATGATATGCCATTGTTCTGGTGTAGGAGGTCCATTTCCTTCCCACAACCACTAAAACCAATAATTATTTGTTCTCCACTTGAATCAGGGAATCTAGCTTGCCACGCCCAAACAAGCCATGATTCATAACCAGGATAACCCTTGGTTTGCAATCCTGGCTTGTAAAGGAATAAACAAACCCAGTCTGAATCATAATGCTAAACAGATTGTACTTAGGTTGTTGAGCAGTTGCATTACGGCAGAAAAACAAAGTGAGGACAAACAGGCTTCTTGTCAAGCCAGCCTTATCACGGGAATGTAGTCATGGTGTGCAAAAAGGCATTAAAAACAACAGACATTCTAAGGTTTCGCCACTGTGGATTGCAAGCTTCAACACAATGATGGCGGACTTCTCTTGGAGCTGTCACGAGCTCTATGAAAGTAAAACCAAAACAAGATGAGTTGTATGATGTTGAGAGGTCAACAAACTGACCACGTTTCTATGAAAATCACATGGGAAGAACGTGCTGACGAGATCGAGAAGGTGAGCATGCTCTCTGGGGCATTAGCCCCAAAACCCCATCCAAAACCAGCTGCAAATCCAAACTCTGTCACTTCTTGTGTTTTTGGAACCTGACGGGTCCCCAAATGTCTCCCGCAGCCCTTCTGTTAAGTCAGGATTTCTGAAATGGAGTCGCTCTGCAAATGTTCACTGACACCGATGCCAGTGTGTGTGTGTGTGTGTGTGTGTGTGTGACAGAACCTCTCTGATCTCGGCTGGTTTCCCCTGGTTTATTAACCCGTATTAAAGCAGGGCTTCCCCGCTGGACTCTATGAGGGACAAACCAGGGTCGTTTTGCTGGTGCTGGCCTGCATCGCTTCTTATTTAGCAGAATTCCCTCCTCTCAAGATGTCCGAGGGAAATATTTTGGGATATAGTGAAACCCCCCCCCCCCCAAAATCCCACCTGTTTTATTTTCATTTATGTCAGCTCCAAGCACATGAGTTATTCATAAGGTTCTTCAGCATGGGTTCTGGTTACATTTCATTAAAACTATTTGGCTCTTGAAAATAAAGCACCACTCCAAAGTTATTACAGCTTTTCTCATATTTGTGCTTTGGAAATAATATGCATGACGGCTTAAATTAACCTCCCTCTTTTCTTTCTTAACTTATAATTAAATTTAGTTTACACAGTGAGCAAGAAAGATCTTTTTCTTATTTCTTTAGGAAAGCTGCCAGTAATAAGCACTTTGAGAACACTTTCTGTCTCTGCTCAAAAGGCGCAGGTAGACTCCTTGGCACAGATTCTGGTTATGATCTGGCACATTTTATTTATTTATTTAAAATATTTTTACCCCACCTTTCTCCTTAAAAAGGTGGGGTACGTCATCAAAAAACAATATTTAATGAGCTAAAAGCAGGGTTATAAAAACTAAAAAAGATCAAACAAATACCACTCTAAGAAACAGTAAACAAAAACAACACCTTACTGCATTCAAAGCAGTAAAGGCACCACCATCCATTAAAAAACTCTACTCAGGCAGCCATTCACTCAGGAAAACCTTGCCTGAAAAGTCTTTGCCTGCTTACAGAAGGACAGCAGTGACGGGGCCAGCCTGGCCTCCAGTGGGAGGGAGTTCCACAGTCTCTGGGAGCATCCACCGAGAAGGCCCTGCCCTGTGTCCCCACCAAACGCACCCGTGAGGATGCTGGTACTGAGAGAAAAGTCTCTCCTGATGACCTTGACACCCAAGCAGGCTCATTATGGGAGGACGCCGTCCTTGAGATCGCTGGGATGCAAGATATTTAGGGCTTTATTATAGGTCAGAAGCAGCACTTTGAATCCATCTCAGAAACGGACCCGCAGCCGACGGAGCCACTGTGACAGGTGGGTTGATGGGATCCCTGTGGCCTGCTCCAGTCCGTTAACAGCGGCTGCATTTTGGACCCGCTGAGAAGGTACTGTGACAGGTGGGTTGATGGGATCCCTGTGGCCTGCCCCAGTCCGCCACCTGGCGGCTGCATTTTGGACCCGCTGAGAAGGTTCCTGACGTGACCCCTAAGCAGTCCCGCATAGGAGGCGTTACGGTAATCCAGCCCCAGCAATGGAAACATCACTGCTCACCTCCTCTTCGCAAGGCCCCTGGGCATCACTGAGCGAACGTGGTATGGGGGGGGAGGCCAGCAAGGTAGACCGGGAGGGAGTCCGCATTGCTGGTGGGGAGCCTCTCCATCTTTCCGGGGGGGGGCAGAGGAATGGCACAATTCCCCACCCCTGGCCTCTTGCTGCCTGAGGCAGGGACCCCCTCACCCGGCCTCACAAGCAACATGTCTTCACAATCCTTAAAAGACCGTCCCTTTTGTCTCCCGTTTTGTGGGACGCGCCGGAGCAATATTTCATGGCCTGTGTTCTTCCGGAGATGCAAGCTTCTCTTCAGGGCCTGATCAGCCTCCAGTCCTACTGAGCGTCGGTCAAGTTGCAGCCTCTGGTCTGTCCCGATTCTGTTCTACGACCCAAAGGAGTAATGGGATACTCCGAAGGGTACGGGATACTCTGCAACCGCATAACAATATGTTTCAGAGGCAGGAGATGGGAGCGGGACAGGATTCCTTTTTCGAAAAGAGAAGTCCGGCAGCCAGAAAAGATCGGTCCAAGGGGGCAAAAAGACACAGGTGGGAACAGACCACATTGCGTTGGGGCCTTGATAGAATCATCCTAACAAACACTCTGGAGTGCCTTCGAGGCAGCCAGGGGACACGGTGGCTTGCCTTTCTCCGCAGACTGAGCCAGCATTTTGAGGAGGAGACCTGAGCGTGCTCGCACTCCCATGCCAAAAGGACCAGGTTCACAGGTTGATGGGTGGAGGCTTGTGTCCCCGTGACGCAAACGTGCATCAAGGGGAAAGAGAGGGTGTCTGTAGCTCACAAACCAGCTTCTTTTCTCCCCCCTTTCCTTGCTCCTGCCTCAGCCTCTCGGTTGTTTTGTTCCTTCTGTGTCTTTTTCATCAATTAGATCTTCATGCTAAACCTTTCAACAAGCTCTCCTCTACACGCTCTGACTGCTTAGGATAGGGGTAAGAACTCTCTCGTTCAGCCTGGGAGCCGATTTGTAAAAATCCTCAGTGACACTATTCCGGAGTGGGTGGGAAGCCAAGACAGCAGAGAATTATAACTTAAAGCAGTGGTCCCCAACCTTGGGCTTCCAGATGTTCTTGGACTTCAGCTCCCAGAAATCCTGGCCAGCAGAGGTGGTGGTGAAGGCTTCTGGGAGTTGTAGTTCAAGAACATCTGGAGGTCCAAGGTTGGGGACCACTGGCTTAAAGCACTTCGCCATAAAAGCAGAACCTTGGGAGAATAAAACACTTGTACAAATGTTAGCAAATCAACTGATGCTGGAGTCATGAGGTCTTGGCCACCGGGGGAACCCTGAAGCGTTGGGCTCGGCCCTACGGTCCGGCATTTCCTATGGCTGGCTTCAGAGAGGTGGATCCTCTCTTTTCTCCACCCCACATGCTAACGGCCACCAGGCATTCCCTATTAGAGCATGGCAGAACACAGAGAAAGTGGGGCCACAGCTCTCTGGAGACCCTAAGAGGGGAAACATCTTGAATGCTGGCCCACTCTTGTCTTCCAGGAGGTCAGCCCTAAGTCCTGCTTCCCAACAATAAAGTCAGGACAACCTTTGCAGTCACGCTTCTGAATCACAGTCGGGTTGATTAAGCCCTATTGAATGCCATCAGATTTACTCCCAAGGAAGCCTGCCAAAGGACTGCAGGGGGCCCTTAAATATAGGTTAAGGAGAGACAAAGGAAAAGCTGCAAAATTAAAAGTAATTTTCAAGGATAAAAATAGGCCCGACCCCTTTCTGCAAGCCCATGCTGCCATTTTCTCCAGAAAAAGGGCACATGGTTCAAAATTCTGAGCTTACCAAGTTGTTTATTCTACATTACTGTTTCTTTAGCCTCGTGTTTTTAACTATAACAATACAGCTCTTTCCTATGCAAATTTTAGAAGCAAAGGCTAAAACAGAATATATAGCATGGGCAGCTATTGGGGGGGGGAAGTCATCAGAAGCACAGAAAAGGAAGATTATGTAAGAACTTTCCTATTAGCAGTAGATGATTAATTGTTATTGGCATGTGGGAGGAATATGCTATATGCCAACCAAGGCCCAGCACATGCTTTGCCTGAAAATATAATGAAGCCATCAAGCCTTTGCCATATCTATTTATGGGGCCATATTAATAGAAAAGGTTAAGTGCTCCCGTTGCTTTACAGAATCTGGCAAGACGTGCAAAAAGATTTCATGGCATTTTGCCTGTGCAGATCTTTCTCAACTGCCACAGCTTGCTCCTCTCGTTTTTTGGGGGAAAGGAAAAATAAATAAAAGTGGCAGGGAAAGTAGACAAAAATAGGATGGCTACTGCTTTCCATCACAATATTCTGCATTAGGCTCTCTTATAGAATCAGCTGGCCATTCAGTCCAACCCCCTCTGGCTCAAGGCAGGAATCCAGGTCAAAGCAGATCTGTCAGAGCGCTCGCCACCTCCCCCCTGAGGTCACAGCTTCCGTTGTCGTACTGCTCTAACAGTTAAGAGGTTCTTCCTGATATTCATCCTATATCTGGCTTCCTGTCATTTCAGCCCATCATTATAACAGGCCAGATCGTGGGTCTGTCTAAGCCTGGAACTTTTTACTCTGACTGTTTTTTTTTTTTTAAAAAAAACATCTCCTGGTGAAGACTGCTGGATAGCTCAGCGTTTGAGGTCTCTGGCTGAGGAGCTAGAAGTTGAGAGTTCGATTCCCCCACTGGTGCTTCCTTGAAAGGGACTGGAAGGGTCTCTTCCACTCTGCAGTTCTAGGATTATAAGACTATAAAATGACAGAGCAGTTCAACAATACCTGGGGAGGCCATAGATTGCCCACTGTATGTACAGAGGCTTTGCATTCTACTTTCCCTGCAAACCTTTAAGAAAATATGTTTACAATCCTCCAGTTATTTTATTTGTTCCTCTGTGTGCCAAGTGGCAGCTTTACATAAAGTTTTTAAGCCATGCCAGGATTTTACAGGGAGATGAAACAGTAGGCACTCTTTTTCCTAGCACTAGAGGCCTCCCGCTGAGATATTTATATTTATATTGTCAGCACTGGTTTGAAATTTGTCGGTGGATCCGTCCTTGATTGTTCTGCAAAGCGATTCTTTAAACAGGGGAGACAGGAATGTCTACAAGTGGAGAAGATGCATTTTTTCCCCTCTAGGTATCGTACATATCCAATTTCTTCACAGAAGCAACGTTCTCTCCTGGAGCCAGCATGAGAAACGGGTTCCTCGACACATGTCGTATGATAGATGCAAATGTCAGCTTTACAGTCGCCAAATATTACACTTGATTTCCTTATAACCTCTGCTGAAATACCCAACACATCGATGGTAAATGAAGTTGAGGTTAAGTGGCTTGCCTCAAGCAACTGGATTGCATTCACCCTAATTTGGCCAAAAAGTATGGTTCATATCCTCCCATGGTCACATACGGACTTGGAACCTTCTCCCTGTTTACTCTGCCTCGCTCACTGGCCCTCGTCATAGCCTTTGGCATCACTGTCAGCCCTGTGTGACTTCTCAAGACCTGCTATAGTGTGACTTCCACAAAGAACCAGAATGCCACACTCAAAAGCCCATGCTCTCTTGACGGCTTTTGTCCACCCAGAAGTCTCGTCCTCGCGGCCTCTCGGAAAACACACTGTGGAAACAGGGAACTGGCTGCTGCGTGATGCAGCGATGACTGCTAGGCAGGAGAGCCATGTTATCACCTCTAGTACCTGAAGCAGAACGGTGTGTCAGTGGCTAGTCAATGGAGTACAGAAGGAGCCGCTGCACCCAGGATTTGCGAGCAGGCTTCCTGCAGGTAAGCGACTGGCCACTTTGAGAAGCAGAACACAGAATTAAAACTGCTTCTGGTCTCCTTCTTGTATCCTTTCAATATCTGTTTAAGAGTCTCGTAACGTCAGAAGAACCATAGAAAAGCAAGGCCCTGTGACATCAACTAATGGTCCAAGGGAGGAATAAGCTTTACTGGCCAAACATCTTGTGTCAGAGACGGGCTATGAAGTTACGACTAATGTGTGGTGCATGGGGCAGCAATTCTGCTGATACGGGAGCTGTCTCCGGAAGGGAGAGCATCCGGGATCTTTATTTGTGTTACACCAAACTCCATCACGGAAGAAGGATAGGATGCAATTATGATGAACTACACCCCAACTGTTTACTGGGCTTACATCTCTTGATTTGATACTAATTCAATTAAAGTTGTCTTTGAGGATTTGCAACTGCAAGCCAGCTAAAAGTCCTTGAAAAGCTTAGTTGACAGAGTCTGGAAAAGTTACAACTCCCCCCCCCCCGCCACCATGAACAGAGGCCACAGAGACTGGTAGAGGGGTAATCCCCAAAAGGAACTTTTCCAAGCTTTTGGCCATGTCTCCTCCCATCTTCTGCTCGCCCGCTGGGAGGGGATGGGACCGAGGGGGGGCACAGAAGGTGAATGACGAAACGAGACCAGCCTGCATCCAGACCTAATGATCAGCGAGATGGGGTTCCGGCAGAATCAAGAGGGACGGCCCTTCAGCTTACCTGTTTATGAGGACCCCTGAGTATATGTGCCTTGGCGCCTTCACAAGCCGTCCTCATGGCTTCCAGGGACGGTGTTCCCAAAAGATCTGTGATCAAATCCAGCTGTGGAAATGGAGGAAAAAAATTAATGGGTTATCCTTGATTTTATATTTCTACAATTCTATTTAAAGAGGCACATCTTTGCCCAGTGATCCTTTCCCCTTGTCTTTCTTGCTCTTCTGTTGAAACTAGGCTGGTACAAACACTTGTTTGCAAAAATTATATGGCTTTTAAAAAAATACCCTGAATATGTTTCGGTGGCTTATAGTGTAAAAGGAGCAAAGTGCACCCGATCACAAAGATAAATAAGTTTTCCTGAAAAGTAGCTCTGTGAGTTGGCTGCTGGAGAAACGACGAGTCTTATGGACTTGAGGAGCAAAGAAATTATGTCATGACATGTTGTTGTAACTCGCAAAATCATTAGGATAAGGAGTGTAACTGGAATCTACTTATTTATTTCATTTACCTAGATTGGTTCCCTCTTTGGGCTCCAAGAGGTGCCAAGGCAACTAACATCACCTGATTTGTGCAACTCAAAGAAAAGAGGCCTTTTCAGTTTCCAGATTACTCAGACCAAGAGCATGACTTTTACCAAATTCTTTAACCAGTTCTCTCTAAGATCATGGCCACTGGTCCCGTCACCTCCTGGCAGATAGAAGGGAAAGATATGGAGGCAGTGACAGATTTTATTTTCCTGGGCTCCATGATCACTGCAGATGGGGACAGCAGCCAGGAAATTAAAAGACACCTGCTTCTTGGGAGGAAAGTAATGAGAAACCTAGACAGCATCTTAAAAAGCATCACCTTGCTGACAAAGGTCCGCATAGTCAAAGCTATGGTTTTTCCTGTAGTGATGTATGGAAATGAGAGCTGGACCATAAAGAAGGCTGACCGCCAAAGAATTGATGCTTTTTAATTGTGGTGCTGGAGGAGACTTTTGAGAGTCTCCTGGACTACAAGGAGAACAAACCTGTCCATTCTGAAGGAAATCAACCCTGAGTGCTCACTGGAAGGACAGATCCTGAAGCCGAGGCTCCAATACTTTGGCCATCTCAGGAGAAGAGAAGACTCCCTGGAAAAGACCCTGATGTTGGGAAAGTGTGAAGGCAAGAGGAGAAGGGGACGACGGAGGACGAGATGGCTGGACAGGGTCATCGAAGCAACCAACGTGAATTTGACCCAATTCCGGGAGGCAGTGGAAGACAGGAGGGCCTGGCGTGCTCTGGTCCATGGAGTCACGAAGAGTCAGACGCGACTTAACGACTAAACAACAAAATTACCAGGTAAACAGCACACGGAGTGAGTGAACTTGAAGATTCCTGGAAGGTGGGAGAGAATCAGAAAAGGACGTGCTCTTCCCTGAGTGAGCATCATCACCTCACAAAAGGTAGCTGGTTCCCCACATTTAAACCGTCAAGGAATCCAAAGCAGAAGAACTGCTCTTCCTTAGGACATGGCAAGATGTGTCAAAGTGAAAGAACAGGAATGCTATGCCAGGATTTTAAGCTTCAGAAAACTAACGTTATTTATACAGAGCCTCACTGAACTCTTACGGCTGTCCAACTATCAAACACGCGTCCAGAAGCGTGCATTGCTAAACCTGAAAATCCAGGCAGATACGGCATGATCTTCTTCCCATGAATCGGCAAATCATTATACATTTTATTTTATTTTGACTCTCGGACTACAGTAGAAACTAGCCCAGTTCAAAAGGTAACCACCAAAATACAGCATCCTTCTCCGTGGTTCAAACGTTCTGTGGAAGTATTCAGCACAGCCTTTCGCTTTTCTTACGAACCATGATTTTTTAGAAAGCTCTTCTAGCATACCAACCACCCACATTTGTCCTCATAACTCCCGGACAAGATGGGCGGCCTTGGGCAAGCTTCATTCTCTCTGCCTCCGTTCCCCATCTGTTACCCAGGAAGGATGACTATCCATCTCACAAGGTTGCTGGGAGTAGGAACCAGATAAGCAAGCCGGAACCTAGCTATTTTCAAGCGAGAGATGAGAGCCTAGGTAGGATGATTGGGATGGGCGGGGGGGAAAAGAGGCCGCCAGCCCACCACGCTGGGGTGCCACTTAACTCTCACCGTGCACTCCACCCTTTCATCAATGGAAGCCTCGATGAATCAAATCACTGAACACATTTTGTCAATAAGTTAAAAAGAGAGCAAAAAGGGAAGGAAAGTCACAGAGAGAGAGAGAGAGAGAGATCGGGTTGGATTCAATGGCCTTATGAACCCCTTACAACTCCTTGATTCTACGATTCTATGAACACCTGCACTGACTTCTCAACTGGCGGCAATTGGCAGCTGAGCTTTACGCCAAGCAGGTTACGCGAGCAGGTATGGACTAACAGGATTCTGGCCATTAAACACTGCCAATGGCTGAAGCAGATAAATCACTGCTTTTGGGGAGCATTATTGGTCCCTTCAGCTGGCTGCAGCTCTGCAGGGTTTCAGACCAGAGACAGCCCCGCCCCGGTAACCTAAAGGCCTTTATCAAGGCCCCTGCTCTCCCACGCCACATGTCCCGTGTGTGCGTGTGTGTGAGAGAGACAAACAGAAGGAGAAGTGATAGGAGGAGGGGAGAATGGTTACTTTATGATCCTGGAGCAGTGTTTTTTGTAAGGCATACTGGTCCATTTCACTCCCTACTGTTTACTGCCCAAGCCTCCCAAACCAGAAGCAGAACCTGGAAACCAGAAAGGCTTTTTCTGAATGGGAATGTGTGGGTCTGGTGCTATTCATGGTGGGTCCTGGAAGGGGAAAACTGCTCCTTCATACCTGTTGCAGGTGCCCAGCCCCAATTTAAGCCCTTGACAGTTACCTGAATTGTATCAAGAATTTTATCCGCACAGGTCTGTAAAATAGCACCTGGCTCTTTGAAGTTGCCCAGAGAGAGAAATAGGAGGCGTTTCTGGTTAAATGGACAACCCAAGCTGCCCATGCTAGGAAAACATAGTCACAAGGCATTTTCTAAGACCATGGGTTCCCAAATGTTCTTGGACTAAAACTCCCAGAAACCTTCACTACCAGATGTGCTGGCCAGAGGTTTCTGGGACATGCAGTCCGGGAACACCTGGGTGACCCAAGGTTGGGAACCACTGATCTAAGACAAGGCTATTGCATTCTGACAAATGGATTCCCAAGCAGTCAGAACAGCCAAAAGGCAACACAAACTAATTTTGTCGGCCCCAAGATTCAGAGACCCACCCACCCCAGAAATCAAGGGCATGGACCACGTTAGGGCTGAAGCCCTTCTTATACCTGCTGGATGGGACTCTGCGCTTGGAACAATATTCTTCTCCCTAGCAGTTCGGCAAAGATGCAGCCCACGGACCAGAGGTCGATTGCGTTACTGTAATGCCGGCTGCCCATTAAGATTTCGGGAGCTCGGTAATACTGAGTGACAACTTCCTGAGTCATGTGACGAGATTCATCTAACTCTTCAACTCTGGCCAGGCCGAAATCACAGATCTGGAGAGTTTAAAAAAAAAGGGGGGGGAGAGAAGTAAAAGCTTGGTATGTTTAGGCAGAAATAAGAACAGCAAATTGAATGGGTGGCAACTCCAGACATACAGGAGTATACAAATGACATTAAATGTGATTTGGGACCTCAGGATGAGTTTATTTCATGCCCAACACAACCAACACAAGCCAGGACTCTCTTATGGTTTGATGCACATGTAGGTTTGGGAGACGCTGGCATTGCTCACCACCACCAGGGGTGGAAAAGAAGCGTTAAGTTACATGTGCATTTGAACACACTGGAGTACGGAAAGGATGTGGAAATCTACACATGTTAAGAGGCAGGTGTAATCTCTTGTGCCATCCCGTGGAGGGAATGACCAAAGGCCAAAATATTTCAGCAAATGCCTTAAACTAAAATCCACAGCTGCCAGAAGGGTAGCAAGCTTTTACGTTTGCTGAGTTGGCCCATGGCTGGCTCGAGATTAAATCGTTCCAATACAGGAGTGGAATTAGCTTTGATTCCCAAGATTTCCTTTTCTTCAGCTCCAATTTCAGCTTCTGCCATCTGACTTACGAGCATTTTTTCATACAATGAACAGGAATTTGCCCCGTGAAAGCTATTTAACAATCTGTATATGACTTTATTATTGTACTGTGTTGTTATCGTGTTCCTATGCTCCCTTTGTAAAAGCTCTGAAGAGGATACAACACAACGGTGCCCATGAGCCATGATGTAGCTCTTTCCTGGTAATGTTCAGACGCCCCCTTTAATTATAGGTGGGATGTCATTAGAATACCTGGGAGCCTGTCCTGCAGAACTCAGTGGGACTTGTTGATGCACAAATGTGCAATATTACATTTAGAGAGTAACAGGTGCTCCTGGCTTTTGTGCATTTCAGGGTCTGTTTCAAGAGCCAGTAGGGATGAAAAGCACAGTTTTCTGCAATCTCCCACTCAGTGAAACTGCTTGAGTCAACATAAGGCAGAGTCATCTGACGAGGACACTTCACAGTTAGATAGTGGCTTACTAATGCTGCATTTGCAGTGCAAATATATATATTTTCTTCCCCCAGACCCCAAAGGAAGTGGCAAAACCTGGATGGCCTCTGGCACATGCATTATTATTTTATACAGGCATAAAAGAAGACACCTTAAGAACACAGTTGCTGTTCACGAGCAGGTTCCCCGGTTTAATGTCTCGATGCAAAATACCAGCTGAATGTAGGTATTTCAGACCTAGAAGAAAACAAACAGACAAGCAGAGATCCAAAATAAACATACAGAAGTTAATTTTTTTTTACAAATGATGCTCAGCCACAATACTGTTTGTCAATGGATTTCTTTTTACCAGAGGTGCAAAGAAAGAGGAACCTTTCTGCTAATAAATAGAGTAAGACCCCCTTATCCGTGGGATCAGTATCCCCTAATTCACTTATCCTGTGCCTGAAAATACTAAATAAAAACCCCAGAAATATGTATTTGCCAGTCGAGGTGAGAAAAAAAAAAGACCTCGCAACGTAAAGCGTTTGATACTTCCGAGCTTTTCGGAAGCTACAGGGGGAGCTTAGGACTGATCCCCCGCAAATACCACAGTCCTACAGAACTCTAGAGCAGTGGTTCTCAAACTGGGGTCCCCCAGATGTTCTTGAACTGCAATTCCCAGAAATCCTGGCCAGCACAACATCTGGGGGAGGCTTCTGGGAATCGCAGTTCAAGAACATCGGGAGACACGAGGCTGGGGAACCACTACTCTGGAGCAAGTGTGTTTCCACGTCCACAGACACTTAAGAGAAGGCCTGTAGACTCTACAGAAGCGTGTCAATGCTCTCCGTTTTTTCCCCACATTAACACTTGTTCACACCTGCTTTGTCCTTGTAAAAAACTCCACTCCCCCACCACCCCAAAGTCTTCGGGTTTGTAAACAGTGCTTAATCATTCCATGCAGAAGATCCAACAAGCTGACCACGTAACTCAACAAATGACAAGGGACCCCCTTTACTGCACTAACAATTTTGTAAGCGTTTCTGAAAGCTTTTCAGACCCAAAAGGAACTGAAGCTTGATATCAAACCCACATTTTATTCTCTTAATCTGCTGGGCATCTGACGACCTTGGACCAGAATAAGGAGAGCTTCAGGGAAGCAGAGGCAGTCTTTATTTTACCTCTATATGCAAAAACCGAGCCTTGGTGTTTATAAGTGGCCTGATTAAAATTTAAAAATCACCCCCCCAATAAATTTACATTTAAAAAGTTATAAAAATTTAAGTGACCTTTTCATTTTTGGAAGATGATTCATAGGGGGACAGATGAATGCATTAAAAATTGGAGCACAACAAATCCACAGAACAAATCACAATTCCTAAAAGCATTTAAACCTCTCCTCGAAACCGGCTTTTCCATTTTAAACAAGGTGGCAGCCTTCCTGTTGCAGCTTGGTTCGACTTCCGCTTTTATGGACAGTCTCATATTTTGGTTTCCTCTGTCACCAGAAGACCAGGTTTATATTCTGAGGGTGGCAGTCGGGCAGTGAGTTGCACCCGGCACTGAGGAAGTGGTTAGGTGAAAGGCCCTGATCCCATCTCTGCCACATCAAGAAAACAAACTTTTTAACAACTTACCTCTTAAAATCTGGTAAAGAAAAACCTTGACATGATCTGAGCTGAGCGGCTGAGGAGAGACAATAATCTTATGGAGGTCACTCTGCATCAGTTCTGTGACAACGTATCTTCAATCACGTTCATTAAGGAAATTTATTAAGCAAGAAGCATACCAGAGAAACCCCGTAAACCCTTAACATTTCCCTCAAGTTGCTATAAAAGTTATCCCAAGAAGCTGCCTCTTCTCGCTCATGTTTTAGAATCTTTAACATGTTTATGGCTAAAGAGACAGCAAAAGCCTGAACTAATAATTAATGTCAATATTAATGAATCACTATTTTTTTCTCTCTGTAGGAATGAGCCAGGTGTTTTTGCTTAGAGGGCCATGTGAGGTTTTTGGGTTTTTCTTCCTTCAACATTTGGGAGGGGCAGCACAACCTCTTCGTTTATTGCCGATTCACACTGTCCACACTTTGAGGTTCCAGTTTGGTTCCTTTTGAAACTGCAGATTCATGGGGAGGAAAGACAACAAAACAGCATCCTTTCATCAACTGCCATTTATAGAAGATCCACCTGTTTGTTGGTGATAGACAGCAGTCGTTCTGTGTGACCAAAATCAGCATCCCTCTTCCTGCTGACATTTAAGACAGCCTTGCGATTTAGCCCCCAGAAGAGCACAGAACGTTTGCAAAGAGATTTGGGGGTGGTGTAAGCCCCCGATATGCTAAACTGAAATCATATCAGAGAAGCTGCTGGCTTCACTTACTCATCCTTTGGGTGGGAATGCAAGATTAAAAGGCACCTTGAGAAGGGAGGTTGAGCGGTGGCTCCTTTGCCTGAGTCATATGTGATTAGCTGAGGTCTCGATTCTTCCACTGTCAGCAATAAAAGAGTCAGAAAGAGAGAGGGAACGCAGGACTATCTGAAATCCACCCCCTGTATCAACATAATTGCCACACCAGCTCTCCGAAGTACAATGTGGGTTGTTGACACAAGTGAGGGAGAACCCAACAGCCTAAATCAAAATCAAGGCTTCTTGATTTTCAAGTAACAGCGATGGAACAGGAAGGGGGGGGGATGAGGTGGAAGACACCTCATTCTGATTTAAAAGCTTTCACCTGCACAGGTTTGGGCCACCATTTTCTGTGTCAACCCGCTCATTTGGTAAGAAAGTCTCCTGAGGTCTTCCTTGTTTGGCTGTCTCCGACATCGAAAATATGCTGGGCAGTAACTGTAGATAGTGTCTTGTCTCAAGGATGACTCTCCAACATCTGGAATGCCCTCCCCTCTAGGGAGGTCTACTTTGCACCACCTGTACTATCACTAAGGGTACCCGGGTCACCAGGTGTTCCCATCCATTCCAGCTTTAAGAACTACTGATGAACTGAATGAATGTTTCTCCATCAGTTTCCAAATGCACTCCAGAAATAAGGCATCACTGTCCGGAGAGGGCATGGTCTCCAGATGTGACCAATCATATTCCCGGTGGTGGAGACACCCAGACAGAAAGACATCAAGGGACATCTGAGCAGATGGGTGGATGGACACAGAAAAAAAAATGGTCCAAGCTGTGAGGATTACCTATTTTAGCCAAGAGGTGACTTGTTTCGCAAGCAATCCTTTCATTTGGTGATTACGATGGCCATCTCTCAGTTGCTGCCTCAGAGCAGGAGTTCCCAACCTTGGATCACCCAGATGTGTTCTTGGACTGCAATTCCCAGAAGCCTTCGCCACCTGCTGTGCTGGCCAGGATTTCTGGGAATGGCAGCCTCAGAACACCTGGGCGACCCAAGGTTGAGAATCTCTGAATTGGACGGCCCCACAGGTTTTCAGCAAGCTAGTGTAAGTAAAATGCAGTAAAAACTGTAGTCACTTGGCTAATGCAAGCATCATTTGGCGAACAGGTAGCAAACAAATTTCAAAAGCTGAAGTACAGTGGGGTCTTGACTTGAGAACTTAATCCGTATTGGAAGGCGGTTCTCAAGTCAAAAAGTCTGTAAGTCAAGTCTCCATTGACCTACAGTGCACTGAAAACCGATTAATCCCGTAACAGGCCATTTTTGTTCCATTTTGGGTTTTTTCTGGTCTGTAAGTCAAATCTCAGTCTGCAAGTCAAACCTAAATTTTGCGGCCAGAGAAGTCTGTAATTCTAAAAGTCTGTAAGTCAAGCCGTCTGTAAGTCAAGGGTCCACTGTAACCCTTGACTTTCTTTCTTCGTGCATAGGCTTAGTTTTGCTATTATATATTCATTTATTTTGTGTCCTGCCACTGTGCCAGCTATCTTGGAAAAAACCCCCACACATTTAGGTTGAAGGTGTAGGATTAAAAAATAGGTGCATAAACGACAGGCAGATTTAAGTAATTCCCTTGAAGTTCCTTAATTCCTTGTTCTACAAATGTCAGGGGTGGGTGAGGCAGACTTGAACCAACACACATGATTTCATGATCACCACGATGGAGGAAATGATTAATAACCACCCTCCTGAGTTTGTAATTAAGGGTTATGATCACAACTCTGCACACAAACCTGATGTAGGTTGTAGTAGCTTCTACTCTTTCTATTTTGCATAAAAGAAGGGTATTCAGACACTTGAATATTCCTTTTTAATCGAACCAGATTATGCATGCCACAGCAAAACTGAGACAGTAGTGATGGTAATTTTGGAGATGTCCCTTGAGGATTTGAACAACATAAACTTAAAACAGGGTCACAACCACAGGAATAAATGGGAATGTACATACTCACTGCACTCCCTTGCTTGTTCTTGGGGAAACTGGAGGACAGATTGCTACAGCAGGACCCCCATATCCACTGGGGATTGGTTCCAAGCCCCACCACAGATACTGAAAACTGCAGATAATAGTGAACACTATATATATAGTACATATAGCATGGTAGAAGAAGAAGAAACAGAGAAGGGGGAATTTTTGCATGCATTACCAAAATGGGTCACTAGAGGGCACCAGAGACCATGCTACGTATTCTTTACTAACAAGTATTCATAGCATGGTATCTGCCTACCTCTAGTGGTCAGTTTTGGTAATGCATGTAAAAAAATCCCCCTCTTTTTTTAAATACTCTTCAATATTTTCAGACTGTGGTTAACTGACACCATGGATACTGATCCAGCAGATACAAGGGTCCTACTGTATAAGTAGCTTGTTTTGTCCCCCTCTCTGCCAGAAAAAAAAACTCCCAACTTCTCTGAGAATACAGAGTTGAAGGGGAGAACATTCTGGCCTCTGATCTTAGCTGGAGGAAAGGAAAGCTGTCGGAATGCCTAGACTTTGCAGGCATGGATTCTTTACAACCTGTTGTGAAGCTGGCAAGTGGCTGATTCAATCAAAAGTCAGGATGACATTCTAGATTTTAAAAAGAGTATTTTCCAAGGGAGGAAGATCATATGTACAAGTGTGAGCTGGTTAGTGGCACATGCCTCTACTACATGAATCCAGGCTGCCCATCTACACCCTCATCATACTTGAGTCATACTACAGTAGCTTCTCTTCCCTCTGCTAAACAGCCAGGTACCTCATCTGTAAATGAATTTGCAAGCCAGCGAGATATACTAAGCTGAGGCAGATCTGTTTAAAGGCTCCATAGTTTTAAAACCATATGCTGATTTTAATTTAGTCCATCATAATCTCAAGCCAGCCCACTAGCTATCGCACCATGACAGCTCTGATTCAGACAGAGCTTCTATATCATCCTTTTCACCAAGCTAAGCTGTCCTTCCTTGCCTTTGCAACTCTATATGAAGAGTCCCTACGCAAATCAGTCCAAACAAGAAAGAGACTCACATAAATGCTGACTTTTGCGCATTTGAAGGGAGAACCTCCAATGCAACTACTCCTAACTCCATAGCATCTTCTAACTCCATAGCTGTTGGTGCAGCTTGAAATATTTTTAGATATAACAAGGTGTAACTATTGATATTACAACCATTTTGGCGTTGCCTGTATTTCAGCGCATGCACTCAGTTTGGACAACAGCAGCCATAAGTATTGCCACTAAGATAAAACTCTTAAAAGTATTGTTATACCTACGGCAATATATACAAAGAGTCCCTTGGGACATGGTAGCGCTGTGGGTTAAACTGCAGAAGCCTCTGTGCTGCAAGGTCAGAAGACCAGCTGTCGTAAGACTGAATCCACGCGACAGAGGGAGCTCCCGTCGCTTTGTCCCAGCTCCTGCCAACCTAGCTGTTTGAAAGCTTGCAAATGAGAGTAGATAAATAGGGACCACCTCGGTGGGAAGGTAATGGCGTTCTGTGTCTAGTCACAGTGGCCACATGACCACGGAAACTGTCTTCAGACAAACGCTGGCTCTACGGCTTACAAACAGGGATGAGCACCGTGCCTTAGAGTCGGACACGACTGGACTAAACGTCAAGGGGAACCTTTACCTTTCGGCAATATATGCCTGTGCGAGATGGGAAATGCAAAACCAAGACAACTAAATGATTAAATGTTTTCCAACAACTTTGCCTTCGAAAAATCCTCCACGTTTCATATCGTGATCATATGACTAATGAAGAACTACTACAGAATCAAAAGATCTGTCGACAATCATGAACGAACATCGGATGCAGTTTGCCAGCTACATCTTACATGCGCCGAAGAGCAGCACCTGAAAACTGCACTATGGTGGGTACCTCCTGAGGGAAAGAGAAAATGAGGATGGCCTTGAAAAACCTGGCGTCAACCACCCAAGGGAGATACCGAAAATGTTGCAAACAATCGAGTTCGCTGGAGAACACTTGCTGCCCAGTGTGCTCTGCACAGGAGCTGAGGATGATGATGAACTACTGATATGACAGATATCTTCAAATAGCTGAAGATCTGCCACATGTAGAAGACAGAGCACGGCTGTTTGCTGTGATGCCAGAAGGCGGGACTTAAACTCATGGATCCCAGAAATATATATTTTTTTCCCCACAAAGGGAAAAGTTTTTTTAAACAGAGGTTGGAGAGTCACCTGCCAGGGGTTCTGCAGGTACGGAGTTTCTCTTTCAGCAAGCAGTAAGATTCTGTGACCGAGGGGGATCCCCTTCCAGCATTACAATCCTGTGGCTCTGTAAAACCATAAAACTTCACAAAACGTCTGTTCATCTCTCCATCGTACAAA